TGATATCCAGAGCCTGGATTTAACATTTATTCCTACTGAGGAAGAAATTTGGAAAGCTCTATGTTCTATTTATGGTGACAAGGTGGCCGGTACAAATGGATTTACTTCTACTTTTTACATAAAATCTTGGGATGTTATTAAGTTTGAGGTTGTGGAAGCTGTCCAGGCCTTCTTCAGAGGGGAGGATATGCCACATTATTTTGCTCAATCCACCATTATTCTAATCCCAAAGGGAGACTAGAAATCTAATTGGGATCATTTTAGACCCATATCTCTCACCACTCTGCTGTCTAAACTTATTAGCAAGCTTTTGGTTTTTAGATTAAAACCACATTTATCTTGGATGATCTCTCCTAATCAGTCAGCTTTTGTAGCTTTTGTTAGTTACAGGTAGACATATTACTGATAATGTGTTACTTACACAGGAACTCTTGCTGGATATTGACAAGCCTGGCAGAGGGGGTAATGTTATATATAAGTTGGATGTCTCTAAAGCTTATGACACTATTAATTGGAATTTTATCTTGGAAGTTCTTAAAGCTAGGGGATTTCAAAATTCCTTTTGCCAAATCATCCATAGATGGCTTAACAATAGTTATTATACCATCCTTATTAATGGTAATTCTCAAGGGCAGTTCCAAGCTACTAGGGGAATTAAACAAGGGGACCCCCTTTCTCCTTACATCTTCATTTTGGCTATGGATTACTTATCTAGGCTTCTAAACCACCATTTTTCTGAAAGGGAACATCTCAGATTTTCTAATAAAGCAAATTTTTTCATAAGTCGTCTATGTTATGCTGATGACTTCATACTATTTTCTAAAGCCTCAAAACCAGCAGTAAAGAAGGTGGTTAATATGTTGAACTTATTCCAACAGATCTCTGGTCTCTCTCTGAACTCAAAGAAATGCCAACTTATTTTTAGCAACAAGCTACATCCTGCTACCAAAAATTGGATTAAGGACTTCACTGGCTTTAAATCTACTACTGACCCCTTGGTTTATCTTGGGGTATAGTTAATTAAACGAAGGAAGAAGCAGACTCAATTTGATGAGGTGGTTTCTAAAATCTCCATACAAATCTCTTGTTGGACTAATTCATTTTTGTCTCAGGGAGGAAGATTAACCTTAATTAAAAGTATCCTAGCATCTTTCCCAATGTATACTTTGCAAATGCTGAAAATGAAAAGAGGTACACAAAGAACTTTAGAGGTGATGTTGAATAAATTCTTATGGGAAGG